TGGCATACTGAATGAGATAAAACTCTAAGAAAAAGGTTACATGAGGACTGACCCCGTGGCTGGCTCGGGAGAGTGCGGCACTGGTAATGCCGAGGCTGCGGGTTTGGATCCTATATAGGGATGGCCGGTGCGCTCACTGGGTGAGCGTGGTGCAGACCACACGGTGCTGAGGGTTGCAATCCCCACTTACAGGTAAAAAAAGAGGGGGGGGGTAAATAAAATATGGGACACCCAGTTAAATTAGGATTTCAGATAAACAAGTCCCATACAATAGTAAAAAATTTTATCTGTAATTCAAATTTGGGCATCCTGTATTTTTACTCAATCTGGCAATCCTGTGCTACAATTTGAGTCTTCTAGATGATTCTGGTCCAGCCTCCCAGTTTACAGATGTGTCAACAGTTTAAATCCACTCCTCACTCAACCAGTTATCATCAACACCGGGATTCAAACCTGGTCTGACTCCAAGTCCATGCGCATGGTACACTAGGTGGCCTTTTGTTAGTCCACTGCATTAAAGGGACCCCAGCTGTCACTTGCTGGATGGGAGTATGCCTGGTGCCAAATTCATTTATGGGGGACCCACCAGGGTGGATATCATATCTAGTTTCTCCTCTAGATTAACATCTATTGGGTGCTTGAAGCACCATGAGTAAACGGACTTAAGGTAACTGCTTTTTGCCTTAAGCATTGCTGTTTTCTTCCTGGCTGCAAAGATCCTAAATGTTTATAAAATACAAAAAAGCCCAAAGCAGCTAAAAATGACCTAATTCTAACTCCCAGAGTTAATCTTGGTTAACATTTTAGTATGCAAGCTTTCAAGTGTTTTTACTATGCATATATTTTTTTCCCCATTTCCAGTAAAATTGGCTCCAACTAATTTTTCCTTCCTTGCCTTATAGGGAACATTGTTTAACAAGCCTAAGTACTGGCTGCATTCTAATACAGTGTCAATAAATAAGAAGCTGGCCGGGCCTATTACCTTTAGAACGAAATTCACTGCCCCATCCCCTTTATTTTTTATTTATCATCCCTTTTAGATTGTAGCCATCTTACCTGAGAGTTAAGTTACAACGGCCTAAACTGCTCAAGGTCTTGGGCAAAAACCTGTGTTCTTTACAGTTCAAGGACATAAAACCTATTTTGAGAAGTGTGGCATTTNCAAAAACCTGTGTTCTTTACAGTTCAAGGACATAAAACCTATTTTGAGAAGTGTGGCATTTTGAAGCACCAATTTTATGCTTTGGATTAACCCTTTTGCTCTATTAACGAAGCAAGAACTGGCTCCTCTATTACCAAAGTGAAAACAGATTCGAGTCAAAGGTTAAATCAGTTATTTCCCACCACTCCAAAAGCCACCTTTCCAGTACTAGGTGCTAGAGGCAAGAACTTCAACAGGGAAATGCCTCAGGTGGCCAGAGAGGGGTTGAGCCTGTCTGGAGCAGGGCCTGGAAGTTTCCATACCCTGACTCCACACATTGCTGGTTTCCCTAGAAAATACCAACAGGGCCCATTAATTTGAATTTTGTGAGCTGTTGTATTTCCCTAAACATTTACTTAATTACTGACCCTAAACATATCCAACTTGGGGTCAGGCAACTCAGAAATAGACTAAAATCCTCATTTTCCTACTGGCCAGTATGGGGATTGAACCCTGGACCTTGGTGTTATCAGCACCACGCACTGGCTGAGCAAAGCAGCCAGCCTCCTAGACTGATTTCTAAGTGTGGACCTTTCCTGTCAAAAGCATCTGGGAACCTATCTCCCAATTTTTTGACAACTGGCTGGTACAGGGACCAGAACCCTTGATCTTGGTCTTATCAGCACTATGCTCTACCCAGCCAGCCCCAATCCCCATTTTATGTCCTTTCCTTGCGATTCCAGTAAACAAGGACTCCCAATGCTCAATTTAGGATTATCAAAATTTAGGGCCCAAAAATCTACATGAGAACCCTTACTACACAGAGAAGCAGCTTCAGGTCATAGGTTAAGAAAGCTGCCAAAGGCTGTGAATCCTCTCTCTCATTCTGTTATTAGACAGAAGGAAAAGAACAGCTTAGAGTCCTAGCTTTGCCCCTTGGGGTTACCTGAAAAGCTTCAATCCTGTTCAGCTACCCTACCTTCATGTACTATTAAGTATTTAAAAGAGAACATGAATAAGAATACGTGATTTTGGGCCGGCCCGGTGGCGCACTGCTACAGCGCGCCGCTTGGGAACTGTGGCGGCGCTCCTGCCAAGGGTTCGGATCCCACATACAGACCGGCCGCTCACTGGCTGAGCTTGGGGTGGTAGCAACACCGAGGGTTG